GGAGCAAGCTCCACAGCCTCCAACCAAAACCTTTCTAGTTCTGATGTTGTAGCCCAGAGCCCCTGGCTGGTTAGGAGGGACTTGAGGGCTCCAATATGGTCTTCTTTACGGTGAGGAAGGAAGTTTTCCATAGTGGTAGAAGATGTGATAGACAACAGAGACCGTGGCTCTGTTTCCTGCAGGTCCAGCCCTTATATGGAAACACTAGGCAAGCCTGAACAAAAGTATGTGCCACCCTACTGTACAGACAGACTCACAAACAAGACAAACAACAAGAAGAAAGGGGGGGTCCCAGTACTTACCTGCCAAAGGAACCGAAAGCACACAATGTAGAGAGGCCTAATTACCAAAATACAACACTCAAGGGGTCGGTCAACTAGTGCCACACCTGAGGAAAGGAATACAACCAGAAGTGGCAGGGTCCTGTGCTGTTGGGGGAGGGGGCAAGTATGCACAGAGTCAACGAAACAGACTCTGGGAGGATGTTGAAACAAGCTCAGTTTATTCAGAAAGAGGCAAACCTTATATACCCTCCACCCCATCCCAGGGAAAGGTTTGATGAACATGCATCTGCTGGTTGTGACATGGCTGCCTCTCATTGGTCCATGTCATCTCCAATCATGTCTCAGTTGCTATTGCTAAGGCCCTTAGGTAGACTCAGGTTGGCTTTCAGGAAGTATCTTATTACCAGGTTTCTGCCAGCTGGCCCTCAGGCCTGTTAGGGCTGAGTCTTTCCACACTTACCTTCCTCTGCTGCAGAAATCTTGGCATCTAAGTTGGCCACTGCCACAAGATCTCAAGACCCAAGGCCTAGCTATACCATACCATTTCCAGCTTATTTTCTTCTACCTTATCAATGAGCTTTAAAGAGCTTAGTTACTGCCTTGTCCCTTTATTCCAGAATCCAGAATCACTACTGTATCATACCTCATAACTGTGGATCTGAAACCTTATCTTGTTGGCAACTAAGACTGATGTTGTAATAGAGTCCTGTTTTACCAACTGTGGGTCTCTGGAGTATCACAAACATGTGTGTGTGTGTGTGTGTGTGTGTGTGTGTGTGTGTGTGTGTGTGTGTGTGTGTGTGTGTGTATGTGTGATATGTGCTCTCCTGAGCCTTAAGAGTGAATATAAGCCTAAGTATTAGAGGCCATGGACCCTGAGCCCAAGACTTCCTCACTTCACAGAAACTCCAACCACACCTTCCCTAGCTGGAGTGATACTGTGGTTTCCTGAGGACTATATACCTGGATGCTTTCCAAATAGCCCTAACTTGAACTGAGTCTTCAAAGGCTCAATTACATTGTACTTAAAATCCTTTTCCTCTTTGTCTGAAATGTACTATCCATGTTCTTTATTAGAAGCAAGACCGAAGAAACCAACAATCACAAATGAAGGGCAAAGCCTTCCTAATTGATCTGGGATTTATAATACTAGATGAACAATTGAAAATGAAAATGGGAAGAGCAAAATGTGGTAGATATATGGGTAATTGGAATAATCTAGTCAATACGATGGTGGCTTTGGCCAAGGAGGTTTGACATGACCATAATTAGACCTAGGTAACAGAGTCCGCAAGATTATGCAGTAGATTACAGCTGATATTTAGAAGGCCAACCCGCCAGAGATATATATCTCTGAGGGAGGAGAAATTCACGAGGTAGGGTCTATGAGAAATACTGCCTTTTGAATAGCTGGCTGCTTCTACCTGTAATTCTCTTGTGTGATGCCATGGTCCCCTCTAAAACACCTATGGGACTTGTCCTACAACCTTAGCAGTGTATTCCTCACTTATCGGGCACCATTACTCCTATGTACTGATAGAAGGATTACTTCTCCCTACGCTGGGTAATTTTCATGAATAAAATAAGTCTCATAGTCAAGTCTTTGTTCCATATTACAATAAAAAACTTAGAAGCCTGTTCTATAATTACTTACTGACAGGACAATTTGGCCAGACAAGGTATCACTGTATTTAGATCACAAGTGGGACTTTCACAGATAACACTCAAGTGTGGAATTACACTACATCTGGGTTTGTTGAATTAAAGCTCTTCAGAGGTTAAAGAGAACAAAATTGCCCTGAGCTCATCCTGCCAGCCAATAACAGGCCATGCATCCCTGCTTTGACCCCAAAGCCTATTAGTATTTTGTATATACTTTCACCTCAGTTTATTGATGCAAAGTTTTAGACTCAGTAACTAACTGTTTATGTTTAAGCCCTAAGATTTGTGTGAGTAACAGGAACAAGCTGTTAGCTGACTAACCATGTCTGGAAAGAAAAGGCTTTCTCACCCAGTTACCATGGGAAGCAGACCCTGCAGATGGCCAGAGCATCAGGGAAGTGCCTGGCCTCAGCCTTGAAAAAAATAGTTACTAGGCCCCCTCTTTGTTCTGAAACCACGGATAGGGTAGAAGATATATTTCTAGGGCTGAAATGATTTTTTATGTCAGCTAACATTTGGCGAATATGCTGATGTGAATCAACACTGTAGACTTCCCCGTTGCCTTACACAGGTTGCCATGGTTACTGACTGATGCCACTTCCGAAGTGGGACTGCACTATCTGAGTCAGGAGAAAACAAGAAAATGGTGTTTTGCCTTTCCCTTTTTACTGATCACAAACTTTTAGCTTATAAATTTAGTTACACTTACGAAATGTAGAATAGTGCATGAATTCTTTGCTTCCTCCTAAGATTTCTCTTTGGTTTAGTTTCTCCTCTTTGTGACCTCTCTCTCTTTAAGAGATAAGCCAAAACTTCACAATCACAGCTGCATCCCTAGCCATAAAAAAAAAAAAACTCACAAGCTGTTGCTACATGTGTCTCTTATGGTATGTACAAAGGTTTTGTAACCCTGAGAAATAAATAGCCTTGTAACCTTTCTATTGCCAGCGAGCTGCTGTAGTATGTGTATATAATTGGTAGACATTTGAAACTAGAGCAAAATAATAAAGAGCATGACCAGAACAGCACATGTGTGAGTCTATTCTGTACCCCTCAGATAGAAAACCCTTAAGCTCAGTTTCACTATGCTGTGGACTTCTTCCTCTAACCCTGGATATAACCTCGAGAGCTGGTCTCTTAGGTTACGTTATTTGGGAATAAGGAATCACCAGAGCGCTGTGATGAGAGGCATGAACCACATTGCCTCACGTGGAAGAGGAACTCTCAGCTGAAGAATTGCCTCCATCATATTGGCCTATTCAAATGTGCATGGGGCATTTTATTGATAAATGTGTAGGAGGACCCAGACCACTGTGCTGAGTGCCATCCCTAGGAATGTGGTCCTGGGTTGTGTGAGAAAGCAGATTGGAACAAGTCCTGGAGAGCAAGTCAGTAAGCAGTCTCTACTCCAGTTCCTACCTTCACTTCCCTTGATGGCGGACTGTAACCTGCCAGTCAATTAAATCCTTTCCTCTCTCAGGTTGATTTGGTTAGCATTTAATCACATAAACAGAAACAGACTAAGACAATGTACAAATTACTCCTTCGGGCCTGTGACACCAAACTAAGTATCTTGACAATGGCTACTTATGCTAAAACACCTCTGCTATTGTATAACTTTTCCTGGGAAGAGATAAAGAAAAGTCTACCCCAAATAGGGAGCCAATGACAAATTAAAGAAGAGATTCTACCCATGTCTGGTTTAATGAGTCAGTGAGTTTATTAGGGTTTTATTAGAACTTTTTATTGCCCTCTGTCCTCCCCTTAAGTAGACAAGCACATGAGGATAGCTTAGCAACCTGGGCTCCTCTTGGTTTGGGTTTTACATACACTCCTCTTCTGATGGTGCACTGGGCAATCTAGGACCTTCGACTGCAGGTATTATGCGTGCAAATCTCCATTTTAAGACTGCACCTACCATCCTAGGACATTACCTACCCCTTGTTGTGCTGAATGTACACCCACTACAGACAATGGACAGGATTCTCTGTTCCAACAACCCACCCTTATCTAACCTTTTATGTCCAGTTTCTATTTAGATATGTCTGGGTGTAAGATTGAGGAGACTGATCATATGGTCAGCCTCACTTCCATATGTCAGCACCCATTGTAAGGATAAGACCAGTCTTCCTCAACTCATTTTTGGTTCTTTGGATCCCTATTCAAAGCATCTATTGTGTTACATGATTTTGAGGGGAGATAAAAACAAATGTCTACTCACCCCATCTGAACAACCATGACAGACCAAAGAAACAATGTCTTCCATGTCTAGCTCATGAATAAGTGAGGTTATTAGGGTGAAGGTTACTTACAGGAGCATTGATCCAACGACAGCTGCATCACTGAAAAGCCCACCCCAGCATGGCAATGATTCACCACAGCTGCAGCCATGGAGGCCCCTGCAGGATGTACAAGCACCTCAGCTGGTATGAACTGCATCCCCACCCACCCCCCCAAAATGCATACTACTTAGATAACCTTGAGGATAGCTTCATAAACCCTTTGAATTTCTGAGATCTGTGATTTTCTTTCTGAGTCTTATTTTAGTTTATATTTAAAATGCGTCTTGTTTGTGGCGTGCATGTTTACATGTGTGTGGGTATTTCAGACTTATGTTGGGCCTCCTCCTCGTTGGCTTTCTACCTTTGTCATTAAGGTGGGGTCTCTCAACTGAACCTAAAACTTGCAGGTATACACACTCTAGCTAGCCAGCTTGGTCCATGGTTCCACTGTCTCTATCTTCTGAGTGTAGAATTACAAGATAACTGCCACACCCACTCAACATTTATGTGGGTTCTGGAAATTGAGCTCTGGTCCTCAAATGTACATGCCAAGTGCTTTGTGCACTGAGCATAAAGTGCCCAGCTTCTGGAGTCTTTGTTAGGATGTTTTGATTAGGAGGAAGTAGCTACAAAACATCTATTCATATCTTTTGTGTATGTGTGTGTGTGTGTGCTTGTATATGTGTGTCTGTTTCTCTGTGTGTGTGTATGTATGTGTATTCAAGTGTGCATGTGAAGTTGAAAAACAGAGAGGAAAGAATGGGAGAAAGTAGAGAGTTGAAGAGGTATTGGTGATTGTCATGTTCTGACATATTAATACACATGACCCTTATGCTTAGGTTTTCTCATGGTGGTAATGGATTGGCCAGTGTAAAGAAAATACATTAGAGGAGGAATTTATCTGATGACTACCTGGTATTAACCATTTCATATTGCCACAGTCAGTGGCTGTGGATAGGTTGAGTTTGAACTAGTTTTTTCAATGTCTCTCTAAGGAGAACTTTGGCATCTTCAGTCACTGTGTCAAGGAAAATCCGTTGAAAGTAAAAGATTTTCTCAATGTCAGGATCTATAACAAGGAGCTTACCATTATACAGTTTCTCTAAATATTGGACAAACTTTTCTTCATGTCTTTCCCTATTCTTAGTTTCAAACAAATAAGGAGATTTAATGATTTTTTTCAGTTGTTCAACAGGCACTTGGGAATCCTTAGCAATGAATTCCAAGGATGTATCATCCACTCCAAAGAGGACTCGATAGTGGTTTAAACTTGCTTCCAGCTTCTCCTTGTCGCACTCCTTGCCTGGTATATGAAGAACAGTGAACAATTCAAGTAAGGAGGTTTGTAAATAGATAATCTGCTGCATAGACTTGTGCTTTCTGTCAATGGCTGCCTCCGTGATATTAGGCAAGGAAAGTATAAAATTGTGGCGCTTTTGATTAGGAAGATCCTGAATCAGGGTGCCCATCAGAACTGGAAAATCATAGTCAGATAAATTGTGGTTGGAAATCAAGAAAATCTGTGGTGCATCCATGTTATTGTCACAAAAAGAATTCACATAGGCGCTTCGGATCTGCCGCAGGATATTTTCTCTGTCAAAGGCACATGGTTTACATTTCTTTTCATTTTGTAAATCCATGTCCACCTTGGTTCTCACAAAGTAGTAATTCTTTTTCATGAATCTGATTGCTTTGGCAAGGTCTAGTTCAAGTTTTGTAAAACGTGTGGCAGAAACAATAACAAAGAAGTCATATTCTTGGAATTTCACTTTCTCCAGATAATCTTTTGGTGGAAATTTCATAGTTCCAATACCAGGCAGGTCCCATAAAGTCAAAGTTTTAATTTTGGGGTGTTTGTATGAGGTTTTCTTCATGGTTGTCTCTGTTACCCCAACTTCAGCTGCACCTTTCTCATCATCTCTAACCCCCCTCAGGGCATTGATGAAGCTGGACTTCCCTGCTCCAGACTCTCCTGTCACAGCAATGTTGATTGGGGTGTTATCAATATTTTTTAATGCATCACTGATTACAGAGTGTGCCTCCCGAATGTTTCCTCTTTTCAGATGAAATTCTATTAAATGAATGGTTTCCTGAGAAATAATCTTGTTTTCTGTCTTAATCTTCTTAAAATATTTAGTGAAGCTGGACTCCAAATCTCCACTGTCTTCATTCTTAGCTGTATTAGAGAATAACTGACCCATGGCTGTGTTGAAAAAGGGCCCTGAAAGAAGGAAGGGAGAGTGAGCTGCATGAGACTGAAGAGGCCTTTGTGCTTAGCACTGTGTTCTCTGTGCCGCAGCCTCAGTTATGTCCTGATGTTAACTAGTTCCCATATGTGTTGTGCTGATTACATTTGGTCAACAAGAGACGAACTAGCGTCCTTTTGGAGAAGAAAATCTCAGTTGAGGAATTGCCCCCCATCAGATTATACTGGGGAATGCTTGTGGGACATTTTCTTGATTGAGGATTGATGTAGGAGGTGGTTCTGGGTAGTTAAGAAAGCATGCTCAAACTATGGGGAGCAAGCCAGTGAGCAGCATTCTCCCATTGTTCCTGCCTTTACTCTTGTAGAGTTTCTGCCCTGACTTCCCTCAGTGATGGACTCTGAGCATAATGTGTTAGTCAAAAAAAAAAAAAAAAAAACACCTCTTTTCTTTTCAAAAAGCCTTTGGTCATGGTGTTTATAAAAGCAATAGAAAGCAAACTAGAACAAATTTCTACTAGCTCTCAATTAAAGCTTTAATTATGGAAAAATTAAAACGTAAGTAAGGGAAAATAATATAAAAATCTGCCTGAGTCCTTTAGCCAGCATTAACAACTATAAAAATATGAGCAACTGTGTTGCTTCTAGCCTGACTGGAGTATTCTGTTAAATCCAAGATATCTTGCTGTGGGATGGTCTGTATGTCAAATTGCTCTGATTGGTCAATAAATAAAACACTGATTGGCCAGTGGCTAGGCAGGAAGTATAGGTGGGACTAACAGAGAGGAGAAAAGAAAGAACAGGAAGGCAGAAGGAGTCACTGCCAGCTGCTGCCATGACAAGCAGCATGTGAAGATGCCGGTAAGTCACGAGCCACGTGGCAAGGTATAGATTTATGGAAATGGATTAATTTAAGCTATAAGAATAGTTAGCAAGAAGCCTGCCACGGCCATACAGTTTGTAAGCAATATAAGTCTCTGTGTTTACTTGGTTGGGTCTGAGCGGCTGCGGGACTGGCGGGTGACAAATATTTGTCCTGACTGTGGGCAAGGCAGGAAAACTCTAGCTACAATATCTAGTTTCTCAAGCTGAAAAATAAATAATAATGAATGATAATTGACATCAGTGTTTAATCAATACCAAATCTCTAATGATTATACAAATCTTTTTTGTCTGTTTACTTACTTACTTAGTTAGTTTTTTTTTTGTTCTTCAAGACATAGTTGCTCTGTGTAACAGTCCTAGCTCTCCTGGAACTTGATTTGTAAACCAGGCCAAGTGCTGGGAATAAAGGCGTGTGACATCCACCACCCTTTGTCTGTTTAATGTTTGTTTTCAAAAGATGTCAGTAAGTCCAGCTATTGTATTTGGTTGAAATAATTCTTAATTTGCTTAGGTTTACTTTCCTTCTGTCTTTTTCATTACTTGGAACTAATCTCCATAGGAATATGAACTTACAATAATCCAAAACTTTTTACTCTTAAAGTCTGTGTTAAAAATCCATTGATTCACTACAATATCTCAGTGTCCACAAGTCATCATTTAGATTCACTGTTTTCTTTTAAATCTTTTACTTTATGAAAGCAATCTAACTGTGCACTAGAGATGTAGGTCAATTGGTAGAGAGAGCTTTCCCATCATGAATAAGGTCTTGGGTTCAATCCCCAACACCTCATCACATGCAGATGCTTGTGGATCCCTGTAGTTCTGGTTTGCAGGGAGTAGAGATAAGAGGGACAATTACTTCCAGGTCATCCTTGAAACATAGTGAGTTAGAGGCTAGCCTACGCTACTTGAGACCCTGTTTCAAAAAAAAAAAAAAAAAGAATATCAACAGCAAATCCCCACTGTCACTCTGGAGCCTCCTCTTTCTGTCTCACCCATATCAAATCAATTGACAGACTTAATCTCTGTTTCCAAATCCAGTCACAATTATCATTCTTCATATATTATCTTCTTCAAGACCTCCTCAATTGCAACTTAGATTATGTCATCAACATTACTATATTTCCTATGATTGTTCTTGCAACAATATAAATTGTAGTGGTATTTGCTCTGCCCATGACCTTGGGCTATACGGCCCAAAGGTGGTGGTACTTCCTGTCTTTCCCTTTTAAAAAAATGGGTAACAGAATTTATTAAGATATAAATTGAGGAAATACACTCACAAAACAGAATGGAGTAGACAGCTAAAGTTGTCCTCTGATCTGACCAGGAGTGAATCCACCTCGCAGGCAGGAACAGGGAGAAGGGGCATGTGACCCTTCTCCAACTCCTTATAAGAGGTCACATACAATGGCAGGAAGCAACGCCTCCTTTGGGCTATATGATAAAAAAATAAATTGGAGCCGGGCGGTGGTGGCGCACGCCTTTAATCCCAGCACTCGGGAGGCAGAGCCAGGAGGATCTCTATGAGTTCGAGGCCAGCCTGGACTACCAAGTGAGTTCCAGGAAAGGCGCAAAGCTACACAGAGAAACCCTGTCTCGAAAAATCCAAAAAAAAAATAAAATAAAATAAAATAAATTGGATATGAAACTTTAGACTCACAAATATAAGATATATGATAGAATATTTTCTTTAATTTTGCCAAATAAAAGTAGACTAAATATTGTAACTGTAATTCGTGCTTGATAAGTGTTTGTTATATATAATTTTACTATATTAAAGCTAAAACTGCCAGGCGATGGTGGCGCATGCCTTTAATCCTTGCACTTGGGAGGCAGAGCCAGGTGGATCTCTGTGAGTTCGAGGCCAACCTGGGCTACAGAGTGAGCTCCAGGAAAGGCACAAAGCTACACAGAGAAACCCTGTCTCGAAAAACCAAAAAAAAAAAAAAAAAAAAAAAAAAGCTAAAACCTTTCTTTTTGATTAGATAGAAAAGGGGAAATGCTGGGGGATATCTTTCTGTACACTGTGAATAGATGTTGTTCCCATTAGTTAATAAATAAGCTGCTTTGGCCTATGGTAAAGCAGCTTAGAGGCAGGCAGGAAATCCAAGGAGAGAGACAGGAAAGAGAAAGGAGATGCCAGCCAGCTGCCAAAGGAGCAACATGTAATAGGACACAGATAAAGCCACTGAGCACGTGGCGATACATAGATTAATAGTTATGGGTTAATTTAAGTTATAAGAGCCAGCTAGTAAGAAGCCTGCCATAGGCCATACAGTTTGCAAATAGTATTAAATCTCTGAATAATTATTTTATAAGTGGCTGTAGGACTGTGGGGCCAGATGGGACCAGAGAAAACTTTCGACTGCAGTGAATGATCAGCCAGAGTTGTCCTATTGACACTGAAGCCATGTCATGTCAAGACAACTCCGAGAGGCACCAATAGGATCCCCAGTTCCCCCAGAGAAAGTTCATTACATACACAGTGTACATGCTCCATACAACATAGCTTTGAATATAGTTTTTTCACTTCTGGGCTCTCTCGTGTCTGAATCCCAGTCACGCTGGTTGTCTTCTCATCTCAGGACTTTGTACTTAGTGACTGCTTCCTTTCCTTGTTACTCTCCCCCAACAGCCAATTGGTAATTAACTTAATCACCTTTCTCTAGGTTCTGCTTCAGGTAGGCAGGATTCAGGATTTATATTCCCATTGGGATGTAAATTTGTTTCTGCCTCTACCACTGACCGTTCTTTCATTATGCATCAGTTTCTTCACAGCACTTGCTGCCACATAATGTGTATCTGTCTAGGGTCATTTGCTGTCAGCCTCCCACAGTATAATGAACCTCAGGCAGCAGAATGTGCCTTTGTCTTGCTCAGTTCTTCATCACCAGCACACGGGTGTACGGTGGGTTATCATCAGGCAATGAACGAAGGCTATGAGGGAAACACTAGATGTTTCTTCTGAACATTTGAGCCTGTTCTGTAGTTCTAACTGGTGTGTATGAAATTGAAATCCTACTAACTTAATAGCTGATGCTAAGAGTCGGACAAGAGCACAAAAACAGTCTAATACAAAACAGAAATATCCTAGAATCATACTGTGAGGAGCACAAGCACACACAGACGCACTGCATAGGCAGACCCTGTCCAATCCACAAGACAAATGGGGGCAGCTGTGTAGGAAACCAGAGCTGCAGAACACTGTTTAACTTGACTGCAGACACAGGCCAGGAAGGGGTGGGGAAAGAGGATGTCCTAAAAGGGAAGCTAGACCTGCTTAAATAAACACCATAGTCAGATTGAAGGGACAGTCACCCACAGGGCACAGGCAGACAGACGTCCCTGCAGCACACAGGCTGTTCTGTCTTTTCGGTTCCCTCTCATTCTTTCAGTTCTAGCTCCTGGATTTGTGGTGCAGACTCCAGTGTGATAGTTGTTTGCAAGGTCTGCTCACTGAATGTGAACATAGGAAATGAGTAGGGTGTAACACAGCCAATGTTACAAAAGGAAGCCTGCCTAAGTGACAGCTGTCACCACATCCTGACACAGCTCAAGTTCTCACAGATGGAGAGAAGATTCTTAGCACTCCTGCTTTACAATAAAGAAAACCAAAGTGAAGAAGATTCTTCAGGCACAGATTTCCACACCCAGCTACAGCAGAAACAGCATGCAGAGAGACCTCTTCTCCACAGAGCGGAGGCCTTGGGATGCAGGAACTAAATAACTGACCCTGAACTAGGCAGCAAGATGAGAGTGAGATATAGCAACCTCATGCACACTGCAGAGATATTCCATTACCTGAAGCCTCCACTGACAGCCATTTTAGGAAGAGGAATAAGAGGCAAGCCAAAACAATTGGATACGTTTACCAAAAACAATATTCAGATCATTTCCTTTAGGTCTATCTCAGCTTGAAGGATTGGCAAAGACCATCCACAGCCTGCCCAATCCAGCTCCCACCAAAACACTCCAGCATCCAAGCTGAGGATCCCTCTCTCAGAGCACCTTCCTAAGTGACTTGTTACCTATCAGCTCTTCAGAGAAAAGAGATGGTGAGGGTTAGAAGTTAAATATGAATGCTCCTGTCTACTTACCAGAAAATTCTGTGTCCAGTGTATGCACTCACTGCAGTTCAGCTGCAGGAACTACTGTCCACTGCGCTCCAGGCTCTTCACATGAACCCACCTCTGCTTCCTCTGTGGAAAGGAGCAGGTTCATGTCAGTTCAGCAAAACTTAACACACTCTTCCGGGCTCTGCCCCCTCCCCTCTCAGTGTGTTTTTGCCAATCATGGAGGACCATCTAGTTGCTTTTCAGAATCACTTGCATTTCCAAGAAGAGGAAAGTGAAATAAAATGAACAGCTGTTTTTCATTCTATCAACGCTTCATTTCTTGGCATAAAAAGCTGGGCGGTCCTAAAATAACAATGTGGAACAGGGCTTGGAAAAAAAAGGGGAACACAGAGAAGGAGCTTACTAGCTAGACTCAAATACAACCCTTGAAAGACAATTTTCCTGGTCCCTGACTCCACAAATGCAGTGTGAACTGAAGTCACACAACACATTGTCTGGGGTCCTGTGCAGATGCCAAATTAGTTTCACCCAAGACACAACCCATTTGACTCCCTCTGACTACAACCTTATTTCTTCACAATTGTGGATTCATGTTCCTTAATTCTTGTCCTTCTCAACTCCCCTCTTAATGCAGGGATTTGGTCTGGTTTGGAATTGACAGGTCCTATACATGTTGTCATAACCACTGTGAGTTTATGTGGAGCTGTCCTGCAGTGTCCAGAAGACACTGATTCCTTGTGATCATCCACCAGCTCTGGCTCCTACAGTCTTGTCACCCTTTCTTCCACAGCCATCCCTGTGCCTTTGGAAGTAGAAATATGTATATTCCATTTAGTTCTGGATATTTATCAGTGTCTTATCCTATGTATCTTGGCCAGTTGTGGATATCTGTTTTGATTATCATCTACTGCAAATATGAGCTTTAATGATAGGGGTTAAGCAATAGCCTAGCCTATGGGTGTAATGGAAAATCATTAAATATTATGTCCATTTAGCATAACCAGGGTAGTAGGTTCTCACTAGGGTGTATGACCCATATAGCCTTAGGCTATTGTCTAGATATGGTACCAAATATGGGTTTCATATTGTGGAGTAATATTAAATCCAATCAGGAAGTAGTTCATTACTACCATGACATTCTTCTCACTATAACAATGGTGGATATATCTTATCTGGTCAGTCATTATTATAACTCACAGAGTTCACACCTGGATTTCATAAATGTTTCATTTTCTCCTCTGCTACTGTGGCTAGAAACTTCCAGCACTATGAAAGATAACCACTATGGATGGATCCTCTGCCTCTGTATTAGTTTGATTTTTTCCATGTTCTATAACTCAGGAATGTGGTGTTTTCACTAACAGGATCCCACTATTAAGGGCACTGACAATGGCCTGTAATGACCAGGGTCATCACTGGCCAACAAGTCCAAAAAAATCTAAGTAATTCCTGTGTCTGTCTGGGAGCCCGCAGAGGTTTCCTAGTGAGATCTGAGCTTGCTTTACCAACAGAGCTGCATAAGAGGATGATTGGACCATGGGACTGGGTACCAGGTGTTTGGAAAGGTCTCCACTTGGTTGTATCTAGCAAAGGGGAGGTTTTTCACCTCATCCCTTGGCATTGTTATGAAAAGCCCTTTTGAGTAAAGTTCTGGGCCATTGGGTATTGACCAGGGTCCTCCCAAAGCTATCCTGTGTTTCTGTCTCTCTTCTTCTTTGCTAGGCCTATCATTCTATCTACAAGTTCCTTATTCCTATCTCTTCCTCACAGGAACTCTTTAAAAAGGTGGGAGCAAGCCTCCCACAAGCCTGGCCTTTTGATTTGTTACCTTGTGGTGCCTAGCAGAGACACTGTTGCCCCAGTAGAGGGCAACTCCATCTTCTTTTTTGTATGTGTACAGATATAATTTAGGAAGCCTCTACATTTGGAGGTTACATATGATATTTTGAAAATCCTTTAGTGTGGTATTGTATTCCCCAAATATTGTGCATGCTAATAAACTTATCTGGGGTCAGAGACAGAGCAGCCACAATATTAAACATAAAGGATAGGCAGTGGTAGCACATGCCTTTAATCCTAGCATTCCAGAGGCAGAAATCCACGTGTTCAAGGATACAGACAGGCATGGTGTCTCATCATGCCTTTAATCCCAGAAAGCAAGCCTTTAATCCCAGGGAGTGGTGGTAGAAAGCAGAAAGGTATATAAGGCGTGAGGACTAGAAACTAGAAGCATTTGGATGGGTAAGCATTTGGCTTGGTTAAGCTTCAGGCTTTCGAGCAGCAGTTCAGCTGAGAGCCATTGGGATGAGGACACAGAAGCTTCCAGTCTGAGGAAACAAGACTAGCTGAGAAGTTGGCCAGGTGAGGTTAGCTGTGGCTTGTTCTGTATCTCTGATCTTCCAGCTTCACCCTAATAGCTGGCTCACAGGTTTGATTTTATTAATAAGAACTTTTAAGAATCATGCTACACTTTAGTGTTATTTATCCCTTCTACTTTCACTCCCCTCCCCTATTCTCACCTCCCAGCCCAATTTAACCCTTCTTTGTCCATATTTCTCTTTTAAATCTCATTTTCCCTCTCTTGTAAGTCTCACTCCATGGCACCATAGTGTTTCAAAACCCCTGTGGGTATTCCAAATGAAACACACATATCTGAAAGGTTGAAGCTAAGGTCTACACATGAGAGGGATTAAATGATGTTTGTCTTTCTGAGTCTTTCTTACCTCACTCAGAATGATTGTATTCATCTCCAGCCAATTTCCCATAAATCTCATAGTTTCCATTTTGCTTAACAGATGAGTAATATTCCATTCTGTAAAGCTGCACTTTTTTTTACCCATTCATCAGTTGATGGGCATCTAGATTGTTTCCATTTCTTGGCCATTGTAAATAGAGCAGGAATGATGGAGGAGCAAGTAGCTCAAAAGTAGGAATAAAGGCATTTGGGAATATTCCCAGGAGTAGTACTGCTGGATCATGTAGTAAATCTATGTTCCCTTTTTTTTTGCAGCTTCCATACAATTTATCTTAGTAACTGCCCCAGTTGACCCTCCCACCATCAGGGACTGAGTGTTCTCTCCCCACAGCCACAGTAGCATTTGCTACTATTTGTATTTTTGTTTCTAGCCACTCTGACTGGGGTGAGGCGAAATCTCAAAGTAGTTTTGACTTGTGTGTCCTTGATGGATAAAATTGTTGAACACTGCGGGGCAATGATGGAATTCCCTTTAATCCCAGCACTTGCCAGGCAGATGCAGGTAGATCTCTGTGAGTTCAAGGCCAGCCTGATCTACAAAGCAAGTTCCAGGAGAACTAAAACTGTTACAGAGAGAAACCTGTCTCAAAAAAAAAAGAATGTTTATTTTTCAGGCATTTGCATGTCATCTTTTGAGAACTTTCTGTTTAGATTATGCTCCATTTTTAGATTGTATTGTTTGTTTTCTTGATGTTTAATATTTATTTACAGATTCCAAATACTAAGCCCCTGTCCAGAACATAGCTGGTAAACATTTTTCCCATTCTATAAGATTTCCTCCTCACTCAAGTGATAGTGTCCTTTAAAAATATTATGAGATCGCATCTTCCTTTGTATCTCATGTAGGTCCAGTATCCCTGTAGTACTATGTAGTCCACACTGGCCTTGAGCTCTGGGTGATTCTCCTGCCTCAGTCTCTTGACTGTTGAGATTATAGTTGTGAATCACCATGCCTTGACTGACTCGGAAACATACTTTTTGATCTTGTGAGCAAATCTACAGCTCATTGGCATTGTGTGTACATTAAACAGCCCCCTGTGGGTGGAAATTGAGAGGGTGTAAAGTGTCTAGTCTAACTCATTTCAATTTCTTTGAGTTCCCAAGAGAAATCATACAGAGCTCACGTATAGCAGCTGTTATTAGGAACTCCAGTTCATTCTAAGCATCTCTGCTGGGTGAACATTGAGTAGAATCTGGTCACGAGTGGCAGAGATCAGCCAATACCAATAAAGACACTTGGCATGGTCAATTTTGTCATCTGAGCCACTAGAGCTCATTTCCAGAGTTGTAATTTGATGTTGTTGATTAGGTGTTGATGATGATGTTCCTTTCCCTCGGGCTGGGTCAGAACCTGGAGCATTGTCTGCTCACAGTTCTTAGGGAAAAGTGAGAGCTGTTCTGACCTTGGAAGGAATGCAGGACTCCCAGTGGACTCTTTGCCAAAATAACAAGGATAGCTGCATTTCCAGTCATTTCCAGGAATGTGAAACTGAAACTCCTTCTCTATGCTGCTTGCTCGTCAGAAACGGTGCACACAGGGAATGTGGAAAGAAGTGGAAGCAACAGAGGGGAAGCTGTGGTTGAGCCTCCCCGCTCCATGTAGACCCTTCACTCTTCCTTCGCCCTGCCTTTCCCTTTCTCACCAGCACACCGTCCTTCAGCCCCATCACAGTACATTCACCCCCACATTTTGTATTTTTCAGCACGTTCTTATGCAGCCAGGCTGCCCTTGTATTTCAGTGGAACAGTTGATGACCTTGAATTTCTGTTTGTTTCATCTCCAGCTCCCCAGGGCTGGCATCACTGGTGTGATTTGGTAATGAGGGATAAATCCAGGACTTTCTGAAGTCTACCAACTGAACTACATCCCTAGTCTTACCCTTTGCTTCTTTTCAAATTTTTTTTAAAATAATGTTTGTTTATTTATTTATTTATTTATTTATTATTTATTTATTTATTTATTTATTTATTTACATATGGTGGTTATACAGGCATGTGCTACTTTGAAGGACCAATTATCTCTAAAAGTGAAATATTGAGGGTTGGAGTGTCGGCTCAGTGATAAAGCACTTGATGATTCAGTGTAAAGCATGAGGACCTCACTTTGGATTGTCACACCCACAAATGCCATGTATGTGAAGTGTGATCACTGTGCCATCTTCTACCCATCAATGATAATTAGGATCAATGAGAGACCCAATCTTAAAAAATAAGCTGGAGAGTGACAAAGAAACACACCATACATTGATCCCCAGCTACTATATGTACATGTATGGTTGAGTGTACACATGTATACACACACACACACACACACACACACACACACACACACACACACACACACACGAATATACACCACACGCACAAAAATCAAATTTGAATTTCTAAAAATGCTAAAACGTTTTTGTAAAATGTATTAAGAAGCAAAAAGCCATTTCTAGCCAATGACATGATCAGAAAA